AAAAACCCCTCGCACGGTATATTGTGTAGCACTTTTTAAAGTCTTTTTCGAGTACAGGAATACTTTATTGTATAAAAAATGAATTAGAAAATAGGTGTACAGAAGATTTCGTTTGATTTAATGTCCATGCACGTAGTAAACTCAGTCTGTGGACGGGCCGGCCTCCGGCTACGTTTGAGCTTGGTGCTCTAAAAAAAGAAGAGTACATGATGACAGTATGCAAATGAAGATATTTTTTGCCTGGTTATATGAGACGCGATTGTGAATGTCTCATGTATGACATTGATTATTATTATCGATGTTATCTTACTACGTTGCATGGTCCAAGGCGAATGTATTTAACAATTTGTGGAGGAAGCAGTGCAGGTTCGTGTGTATTTTCTACTTGTTCATGTTGTGGTTGTTCTTCGTCTCCTTTTTGTGTTAACTAAAGTGAGATGACGAGGCTGTGGGCCGTTATCTACAGTATATCGCATGCCGACCTATGCCCTATTCGTTGGGTGATGGCAGACCTCACCTCAGACATCCCAATGAACCCTAGCACGCTCCTAAAAAGTAATGATAGGCACGGGATTTTAGGTCTTTGTTTTTTATAGTTAAGATCATCCGCAAGCGCCAGCCTTAACACTGACTACAAGTCGTTTTTTGAGTTTTGCTAGATTTCACCGGCTAACTCTACACTGCATTCTCCAGTCAGTATTTGTTAGTTTTAAGGCGTGCTGTGGTGTATATTAGTTTACATTGCTCACTCCACGGAAATACTTGACCCGGCTTTTCAGCACTTAATTCTTACAGTTGCCTGGCCTCCTGCACCAGCCTCTATCATCCTCTGGTTTTCCGTACTCCCAATTAACTACTAATAACTTCATCCCGGTCTTAACTCTTATTATAATTTAATATCGGAAACCTATATGCGCACACCTTTTAGATAATCCTCTTAGCCTTTTGTTGCTGACTTTCCGTATGCCAATTGTTTTGTCCCAGTTGGTAGGTACTCTCC